CACTCTAGATTTATTAATCATGTCTTGCACTATGGGCACAATCTCTGCTGTTATCTGAGAAATTATTTCTGATTTCACTTTTTCCAGATCCTCTTTTGTTGCCAGTTCAGGGAGTCCAGGTGGTTAAGTATCAGATTGTTCCATCTTGTTTCCCTTTGGTGTTCCCTTAGGTGATCTGGAAGTCTGGTTTTTAGACTTGTTTATGTGTCTTCTTATTCCAAAGATGCAGCCTGCTGTGCCTGTGTTGAGGCAACTTTTTGCTCACCCAGTGGTCTTCAGTTCTCAGCAAGCCACTGAGCTGCCTTTTCTCTGCTGCCCACCAGTAAACTAATTCCTAGGTTCAGAGTGGTGGCCTTCTGCATCCCTAAGCTGACCTGTTGTCTGGGTGGGCATCTGGCTGGGGCCTGTGCACACTTGGGATGGTATCTAGCTGTGCCTCTGGCTAAGGCCCCTATGTACCTGTTGTCTGGGAGGGCCTTTGGGTGGGGGCTGTGCACCCTAGTTCCTGTTGTGTGAGCAAGCTTCTGGATAGGGTCTTGAGTACTTACTGATGGTATTGGGGTGAACCTCTGGCTGTTGCTTGCGTGCCTGTGCAGCTCTTTCCCAGGCAGGCCCTTGGCTTGGGCCAGCGTGCCCCAGCTTCTGGGGTTGGGGCAGAGCCCTGGCTGGGATCTGCTTGCAGCTGCACTACTCTGGCCCACACTGTTGCTCCCCCAACTAAGGTGGTCTCATGTGCCTTTATTGCAGAGATTTTCTTCACTTTTCTGGTGGGCTTTAATTTCTTCTACTTTATCTTCTCAAGCTCAGAACAATGTCCTTTATGACCCCTGCAACTCTGCGGTGTGGATCCTGGTTCTGCACAGCCAAGGGGAGGGAGATGGTGTGCTGATGCCCACACAGCTCACCTCCTCAGTGCTCTGGGGTGGTGGTCTGTTTGGGTTGTTTTCACCAAGTATGAATGCCAGAGGAGGAGTCCACAGCTTGCACTGTACAATGGCCTGAGTTTACTCCAAATGCTTCCACTAGAAGCCAGGTCCTGTGTGGGGTGGGGCATGGATGCCAGGGGCCAATGTGAGGATCCTCAGGGCCATCACTACTCTGTCATCTCAGGCTAAGGGATCCACAGGGACATAGTCACAATGGGATTCTTATGGAAGAATTTTGAACTGTAAGTGTATTTTTTAAAATTAGATGTAGGAATAGTCAGCTTGTTTATTTCTTCTTC